ATATGTCTGTAAATTTTATATTGCTTTATCAAAACGCTCTTTCCTCTTCATCTCAGCTCAGCTCTAGTCGTGAGTCATCTTATATTGCTCGATAATTTCAGCGCCCTTTAGGGGAAAGGTAGACAGTGTATATTGATTGATTTGGGTTGGATATTTGCTAAAACAAACAGATATCTTGTTCCAAAGATCAGTTTCTTCACTAACTCTGGCAGCATTAACAAATGCAGCTGAGACTGGGCCCAAAACACAAGCACAAGATAATTAGTCACACCAGGCTTGGAGTAGGAAGGGCAGGGAAGCAATCTGACTGAAGGATGTATTGATCCTCTAGAGAGGGAGGGGCACCCAGTCAGGAGTCATGATCAATCTTGCAAGCCAACTCTCTCAATCTGTGATGAGACCTGTGTGTGTTTGTGTGGGGAAGTATTCCATCTACACTATACACCCTTTGGTACACATGTTTGTGTTTGGGTGCCTGTGTGCATGCGTGTGTTGTGTGCAGCCACATTAACACTACCAACAGCTCAGTGTTATGACTTGTCAGAAAGAGACAAATGTCTGTGTGAGTAAAAGACTCCCAGGGGTTAGAGAAAGGGGGTTTAGCTGTACCACAACATCGGAAGCCTTTATCGTCGAGTTAAAAGCCACCGCCATCCCTGAGCCGCAGATTCTCCTCATCACGCCGAGCGCTCTAAACCGAGGCACAGTTAGACGTTTTAAAACCAGCTCAGGAAGCGATGGAAAAGGTAAATCTTCCCAAATATAAACAGTTTGCATATTGGTGTTATCCATTGGCTGGTCACAGGTGGGTTTAATCTGATTAGACAGTGGTGATGCATATCAGGAGGAGCAACAGACCAAATGCACTGTAATTCATCTTCCTCTGATACACTGGAGGAGGAGGAGGAAGAGGAGGAGAAGGTGGGAAAGGAGTGCAGTGGCACTGAATTGGGTTGCAAAAGCAGCAGTCCCCCCTTTAGCCTCGAAAAAATATGCGATCAGTTTTTTGTTTTTTTTTCCCCTCCTGCATTTTGCAAGAAGAGTAAAAGATGATAAAAAAAGACAAGAAAAGAGTTGTTTGTTTATGGGTGGTGGAGGATGTAATAACGCTCACCGCTGGCCTCTAGGGTTGAATCCGATATCAGACAGCATGTTAAGCTGCAGGGACTCCCACAGCAGTGGAACTGTAGATGGCTAATTGACAGGCTGTTGAAGACGAAGCCAGTCCAGATAGCCAGTCACTTTCACGCTCCCACACTCCTCGCTCTCCACCAGGAGGGAAGATGGCAGGCTGGGGGAGAAGAGTGTGTGTGTGTGTGTGTGTGTGTGTGTGTGTGTGTGTGTGTGTGTGTGTGTGTGTGTGTGTGTGCTGTTACACTTTGGAGCCTCTAGGGAAGCGGATGTCACTCCTACAGTTATCTGCACATATACACAGATTTTCACACGAGCGCAAACACATACACACACACACACACGAATATATAAGTGAGAATGAAATCCTGTAACTGAGTTTTTGCGGGGCTCAAAGACAACGCCAAAGGTCGGGGATGTATTTCTTGTTGTAACATGGAATGTCACACTCATGCAAGGGCTCAGGAGACACATTTTACACATCAGGCCCAAGTAGGAGATTGTGGAGACTGTGCATGGCTTCAGCATATCAGAAAAATGTAAAAACTTGTTTTGAAAGTCGGCTCTATGTGAATCCACGCCAGCTACATATGAAACTCTAAGTCTAGGTGTATGCCAGTTCTGTAGCTTGTTACCATCGAGACTTAAATTCGCTTCCCTATTTACGCTCTCACTATAATTTTTCATTGCCTCCCATCTTTCTCTCATGACCCACACAGGAGCAGTACAGTTATTGAGATCAACTCCCAATTATGTCTCTTTTGTGCCATTTTCTACATTATATTGATTTACATTAATGCGGCTTCGGATTTTGTTCTACTATGAAGGATATGACGGGGGAAGGGGGTGAAAATCATCTGTGGCTTACACCATTACACATTCAATTATCTATAAAACACACAATGGAGGCTTCAGTCAGTGAAATGACAAATTGCAGGCGGAGAGCTCTTCAGTGTTGTCCCCGTTAACCCAGGTTTTTATAGATCACCTCGCATGCCACCCTATAGCTGTGTAGTTATCTCCATGAATATATGCAGAAGGGATCTGTCCTTGCTGAGAGCAAAATCTGATAATGCAGCAGCAAACACAGCTGAGAGTCAGAGCAAACCAATTCAGAGCTCTGTTTAAAAAAAGCCAAAGGGCTCGCTGCTCATCTGTGCGACAGCACCACACAATAGATGAACAATTATTCAGAGTTAGACTGGAAGAAAAATATTAATCTATTTATTCATGGCTTGTTGAATCAGCTTTATCTTCTGTGATTAATCCAAGTCAATAATGTAATCTTTAATTATAAAGAATGGCCTTATTACCTACGTCAAATAATCACGTCGGTCCACGATGCTGGAAAGAGGAAAACAAATTTCTCTGCTACGTGATTATGTATTTTTCTGCCATGAATTAGAGCAGCCAGACCTTTTTTTTTTCCTGGCCTTGAGACTCATATTTATTTGACTCTTTCATCAGTGAATGCACAGAGGGCAAGTCATGATTTCTGAAATAAACAAACTTAAAAAAAGAGAGAAAAATATTGATATATTTTTGAGATTTTAGTGTTTTTGCAGAAACCGTTTCAGTCATGGCTATTTAGATTTGGGATTTTATAGTAATTCAAATAAAAAAATTAAAAGATATAATAAAGATTCTGAGAGAAAAATAAAAGGAAAACTGGAAACCGGAGGTCTATTACACAGAACACGGTCTGGTTACAGAAAAGCTCAAATGTCAGAAAATGTCACAATTATTTTTCATCATACAATTTTCCCAAGAGTCCCGCATCCATGAAGCTTTTATCAAAATATAACATCTGGAGCTCCCAGAATGATCAATCAAAAGAAAATACATTTCGATCCTGAAGCAGGGCCCTATACGAAGAATAATGACAAGTTTGTGCAGGACTCTAGTTTTTTTGAACATGCTTGCATGTGATTAATAGCACATCACCTGTAATAATGGCCTTCTTGCTGCATGCAATTTCCAGTTAGAAATATACACGTGCACAAATAAAAACAGAGGCACGCATGCATGTAAATGAGCTTCACTGGCATTGTCCTGTTTTGCGTTCTGCCCACCAGTCTGATCCCACAACTCCCAGTCCTTCCTCTCTTTGCACTCCCAGTGCAGATTCCCACCAGGACTCAGAGTAAGTGATTTTTCATGCGTGGCGGCAGCAAGTAGTCTGTAACAAATCTAACTGACAGCCCCTGAAAATGCAGATCACATAGTTGCCAGAGAGGAAACAGCAGCTTAGGGAACTTCCAACAGGATCCTAATCTGTGATGAAGTCACCCAGTGTCCAAAGAGAGCTACAGGACGTTTCATCGACATGGAACAGACATTTCCTGGATGTCAGAATTGTCTGCTAATTAATGTACTCAGAGAGGAGTGAGTGTCAAAGTGTCAGAGGATATTGCCGTCAAACCTGCCAGAAGCACGTTACAAACTTTTAGAGTCGCGATGCTGCTTCAGACTGAATACTGCAAAACTTTTTGGGTACCCTGAGGAGCACAACATTTTCTTTTGCTCGACAGAACAACTGAGAACATTTTCTGGAGGGGAATCCACGCTCATGTCACAGGTAATTTTATGTGTATATGTAAGAGGCTGCCTTGTCAACAAAATAAAGAAAAAATAAATACCGTGCTAGAGTGTCGGAGAAATCAAATGAGAAGCAGAGAGACGTCATTATTTCTTCAGCGTAATTTGGCACATCAGACATAATGTAGTGCCATCTCTGTGATAAGACAGAATCTTCAGGTCTCAGAAAGGTGAGCATATCAATGTTCAACATACCCTATTAAGACTTGACATCCCCACTTTATCATCACTAAAGCAATTGCATATTCCTATTCCTGCAGGAGAGATGGGGAAATCCATCTCCTGCAAGGACAGTGCCTTTAATAAATAGTGCACAGAACACAGGCACAAACTCTCCCTCTTTCACCTGATCCTCTCTCTCTTTCCATCTCTCTCTCTCTCTCTCTCTCTCTCTCACACACACACACACACACACAGACACACACACACTTTCCCTCTCATGGAAATTGTTTCATTCCTTTTAGTCAATCTGGCTAATGCAAAAATCATGTATGTCAGTCTTTAAATATTTAATCTTAACAGCAGCGAGATTGAAATACAACGTTGAAGAAGCATTACTCCTTCCTTCCCTCCTGAAAGGTACAAGAGCCCAGCGAGAGGGAGAGCGAGAGAGAGGCAGGCAGCTGCTCTGCAATGTCAGGAAGAGAGAGTGGAAGCGACAGGGAGAGATGGAAAAGAGAGGAAGAAGAGACTCGGCTATTTTTGATGGCAATTTTGTTGCCATGCACTCTCAGCTAGTAGGGTTGGAGGCAGCACTAAAGCGCAGTTTGCCTTGGAAAAGTACACAACCACATACAACAGCTCTCTGTTTTTCTTCTTTGGGAGCAGCCTTTGTTCTTTGACATAATAGATTCTAGTGGAGGCACGGCTGAAGAGAAACACTGTTGCTGCTTAGAACTTAGTGAGAAGAGATACAGCTCGATGACTGAACAAAAGACATGAATCTTGCATGCAGAACTGTACCGTGGGAACCACATGGCCCCAAGAGATGAGTAGAAACACAAAGAGAATTTAAACCGCTCGTCTTAACGAGATCCTACCGCTTTCATCCTTACAGGTAGTTTTGTGTGAACAAGGATATTGTTCACTTACACACTTGTGGCCCCTTTAATGTTTCAAATACTTGTTTAACAAGGTTGCTTTTGCAGGAACAACAACAACAACAACAACAACAATAAAAGTTTTTTTCTGAAGCCAATAAATCACAACTGAGTGGTGTCACTTTGTAAGAGCAAGCAAAACACAAAACTTTGGGAAACTTTTACACTCACCACAGTGAAGTCCTCGGCTGAGCAGTTCTGTCCACTAAAATTACAGCTCATGAGCATCTCTTCTAACTGATGTCCTGTCCTGTTGAAAATGTCCTGCATGTCAGGAGCAGGATACATTAAATCAGTGGGTTTGTGCCCGTCCCTGTTTTTGGGGGGCAGACCTGTCAAGTTAGCCAGGTGGTAGATGTCAGCATCGGTGAGCGCTGAGAAGCGAAAGCGGTTTATGTTGCAGATGGTCACAGCGGGGAAAACCATCTCGGGGGTCGCCTCTTCATTCAGAGCTGTGACGTGAGGGTGCTCCAGGTAAGAGATGGCACACTTAGCTGCTTGGTACAGAAAGAGTGCCAGTGAAGTCAAAAAGGCAAGAGCCCAGAGAGTCTGCCGGATGCCCAGCCGACCAGAGACAAAGATATGGTTAATCCCATGAAGGGAGCAGGAGTTAGCAAACCCGGCCAGGTCCTTGGCCGGAGGTGTGCAGCTCTCCTCGATCAGGCTCTCCTTGTCCCCATCCTGCTTGCTTTTCTGCTTCTCATCCTCCTCTGCAAATTTGATTTTGCAAACAAATTCGATAGGCATGGGGGCAGCCAGGTCTGCGTTTTGGTTTTGTTTTTGATGACAGCTATAAGCCCTGGATCACTTCTCTCCCACTTCCTCGCCTTTTGTCGTCTGTGCAGGAAACAACTCCAAAAAGAAAAAGACGGGAGAGAGTTTGTTGCTGCTGCTGTCGCTGCTGCCTGTGCTGTGACTGATAGTGCTGCTGCTGCTTCTGCTGCCACGGCTCCTAGTGACTACAGCGCTGCTGCTGCTGTGCTGCTACTGCTCTGAACGCTTGTCTCACTACTTGATCAGCTCACACAGTCTCGCTTATCAGCAGTAATACAGCTGTCAAAAAAAATAAAAAAATAAAAAAAATACCCTTGCACACAGCCTCAGACCCACAGATGAAAATGCAGCATTTTGAGTCGGGCTAAAATAAGAACAGGGCACTTAATAATTCACGAGAAGGTAACATTGTCATTATTTCCTCCTCACTGGCGCGAGTCGCAACTTCCCCCGGTCATCCCCATGCTTCCCCGCTGACAGACCACCTCCTGCTTAATCCACTTGTTTGGATGGTGCTTTCACTTCTCAACCTGAATAAAGTTGGTGTCAGAGGTTCTCCTGGCAAACATCTGGTGTTTGATGTGAATTGCAGAGGGTCACGGCATTTTCATGCCACACTGAATAAGGTCTCTAGAGAATGCCTAATTGAAACAATAATGAGCGGTGCAAGCAGTGGAATTGAGCACGAGCTAACCCCTGGCAATCAATCTTGTCTTTGCAACAAAAAAGTAAAAGACTATCGATCGAGCGAATGTGTCTGTCAGAGATTAAGCGAGGCAGTACAACGGTGTTTCCTTATCAGGAACTAATAGTAGCATCACAAGACTCCAGCACGAATTTGAATTAGTGAATGCATCCTGATCTGGACCCCGATGCTGCTAAAGACGTTGAAATCGAGTATCGATCTGCCTCCGTCCCTACCCTTTACAGTGCGTGTCTCAGTGCTGTTAATGGCCCTTTTCCAAGTTGCCAAACAAAATTATGCAAATGGAAGGCAGAAAAGTGAGAGCCCTAATGCATGTTATTCCCCTTTAAATGGAATTAGTCATGCGGGTCACATCACAAGGGGCTGGGACCTCTAGAGAAAAGGCATATTTAAAAGTGAATTCAACCGCTCTAAACACACGTGCCAAGTCAAGTCTGAAAGAGCACCAGAGACCAAAAGGAGCAAATAAGGGGACTTAAAAAAAAAAAGAAAAAAAAAGAAAAATGCCCTGCATTTTCTTAATCAGCTTAAAGAGGTCTTGTGATTCACATAAAATGTGAAAACCAACAGAAGAATCATTTTTGACATAAGATTCTAGAAATAATCAAAATAAAATTGTAATCTGTTTGGCTGGTTATAAAAACAATGTTCCTCTTTAGACACTGAAAAAAAAGAAACATTTCCCAATTTTGCCATTTTCTCTCTTTATGTCTTGTTTTGTCATTTCAGATCTTTAGACATTTGTTTTTATTGCAACTGTTTATTGGTGTTGTGTTTTTCGGCTAGATAAACAGATATATGTAGAATATTGCTTTTACTTGATACAAGTTAAGCATCCACGGTTTAGCTATGCCTCTGGCAGGCACAGAGCCCTTCTAACCACAGAGTGTTTTATGTAGTCACTCCCAGAGGATGCTGGGGTTATTTACTGTCTCACAGAGGGAATGAAGGCTCACAGTCCACGCCATGACTAAATACCAAATGTGAATAAAAAATATGCAGACACATCTGGCACATGAAAACCATTCAAGGAGTAGATGGCATTACATTTGTCATGATGTTTGTCAGAGTCAATTACACTCCAAACCCCAGGCCTGCTTTGTGTCTGATGCCCTAAAAATGAGATACAATGGATTAAATGTCACTGACCTTCAAGTTATTTTTGACACTATGAATAATGTCTCATTTTGCAACAACATCAGCGGGGGCTTTTTGTAGGGCATCACGGTCAAGTCATACACAAAGTGCTTTTTCTCTTTTTCAAATACAAGGTACAGTTGAGACAGAAAATGCTTCAAAATGGCTGTTGAAAATCGCTCTTTTTGGTCTGTTTATTGAGAAATGAAAGCAGTTTGCAGAGCTGTAAGATGTGGATACATGATGCCTTCCCTTAGAGAAAAGGCTGACAGCTTTATCATTTTGTCCAAAAAGCTCCATCTATTGGATGTCTCTGTACTCAGTGTTTGCTTTGATGTCAACTGAGTAACAGAGTGAGAAATGTCCAAATCATCAACTACAGTTTTAAGACGATGGTTTTGGGCAGTCATTCCAATGATAACCAAAGAAAAAAAAAACAATTAACTGATTGTATTTGCATATGAAAACTACAAATGTTTAAAGAAACAACATCTGGCATTACACTGAAAACTTTTGCACTTAAAATATGTTTTTATATTTGCTTTAGACTCTCTATTCCAGGTACCGTGGTAGGTGGCCAGCTAAGGATCCAAATCAGGAATACAACGAATTAGGTGTTGGAGAGCATTTACCGCAACAATCAGTGATGGACTCAAAAACGACTGCATTGTTTGTAATGCCGTTTTGATGATTGTGAAAATTGCGTATCGGAGTTGTTCTTTGCAATTTCCTGTTGTGTGGTTCACTTCTGCAAATGAACAGAACAAATCCACAGATGAAATGACAAAGTTTTCTTATTCCTGACTCACTTGTGTGCTCCCTAAATGGCTACATCCTTTTCTTGTTTATACTCACCCTGTGTATCTCAGGTCCACTCAGGAAAAACCATGGCTTCCATTCTTTGTGTATTATGTATATCAACATGAAGTAAAATGGGCTGAGTTTTATATAAAGACAAGCAGAGAACAGAGCATAGGGAGCTTCGTGGAATGGGTTTCCATGCCACTATAAAGCATGCCACTACTGGACTCCAGAGCAATGGAAATGTGTTACCTGGAGTGACAAAAAACGTTTCTCCATCTGCCAAACTGATGGACAAGTTTGGGTGCCTGGAGAGGGGTACTTGTCTTCTCTGTACTTGGCACTGTGCCAAGTGTAAAGTTTGGTGTAGGTGGGATTATGGTGTGAGGCTATTTTTCAGTGAAGTTCCAGTGAAAGAAACTCTTAATGCTTCATCATACCAAGACATTTCGGGCAATTTCATACTCCCAACTTCGGGTAGTAGTTTGGGGATGGCCCCTTCCACTTCTACCGAGACTGCGCACCAGTGCACAAAGCAAGGTCCATAAAGACATGGACAAGCATGTTTAGTGTGGAAGAACTTGACTGGCCTGCACAGAGTCCTGACCTCAACCCAAACTGATACAATATGTGGGATAAGTTAGAACCACGACTGCAAGTCAGGCCTTCTCACCTATCATCAGTGTCTGACCATTCTGAAGGAATGGTTAAAAATTCCCATCAACATTCTCCTAAACCTCATGGAAAGCCTTCTTGGTGTGGATCATCAAAGTGCTTACTATTAACTGTAGCTATGCTCACTTTTATACTGTCTATGCTACTTGGCTTGAAAAGCTCAAGCCAGTGTAAACGGGACATGGTCATGGTCAGAGTCAAAGAGAATTAATCTTGCTTCCAGGGAGAACAGCCAACACTTCCTACTAGATGGCAGTAATTTAATAGATGGATGCAAACAAGCTAAACGGTTTATGACAAAATACTGTTTGAGATGCACGACAAAAGACTGCTTTTGCTTTAGGTTTTAATTAATGTCTGGTTGTAGATTTCACCAGACAAGTAGCACTTTGCTTACACTACAAACGTGTAGATACACTGTAGGAGCTGTAAAGTTTGGTTGAGAAACCAAACATTTACCTATGGAAAATTCTCCTTGACACATCTGCAAAGCCTAAACCAGCGCCAAATGTGAAGCCATGGTCGTTGTAAAGTTTTTTTTTTACCGTTCAAGATCGATTATTGCTAAATTGTGGTTTGAACCTCAACTTTCACCGCCTTAAAGCTAAACTACAGGCAATCTACAAGCTCAAAATTTACACTGGATAAGACTTAAAGACTTAGTTAAACTAAACCAAACAGTACCCACCTGTGTGAGCTGATGGTCTTGTATTCCCAGAAAGCTGTGGGGGAAAAGCAGAAAATTAAAAGTTTAGTCAATGATGGACTGAAAAGAATTTTTAAATTTAAAGTATCCAAATATGAGGATGCATAAAATGCACACGGTGTGTAAATTAAGGGAGAAACTAAAGGAAAAGTGAAGACATTTGCATTATTTTGATCTAGACTGCTGAATGTGAAACCTGCGGGACTGTTCAGTTCTTTTCAAGTTAAAAAGACACAGCGTTCACCCTGCGAGTGACCGCACTAATGTACTGTAATTTTTCCTCACTAGCTTTCCCAGGAGGTTGCAGTGTTCATTAAACTTTAAAGAGATCTTTCAAATCAGATGTATCTATCTCCTTGAGAGCATGAATGTTTTCAGCAAATTTCACTCAGTTCATTCATTTGGGAAAGTTCAGACTCACAAATGACTGTTTGATCGTAACTATGGTGAAGAGGATCTGCTGAAGTTCAAACCAAGTATCAGAAAGGTAAGAAAAGTTGCTTTGAATATGGCATTGTTGGTGGTGTAAGACAAACAACATATTAAATGGGTATTAATAGATGGGGCATTCTTCTTCTTTTCTCATTCTTTTAATAATAATAATAATAATTTGAGTTTATTTAAATACCACTTATAAAAAAAAACCCAGCATGTTTCTCAAAAACACATGAACAAAAGGCTTAGAAGAAGTATAAAAAGGTGGATATCAATTAAAATAGGCCATGCAAGACTCAAGTGCAACATCTAAAATTATAAAGAAGCTACAAATGACTGCATAATGAAGAGTAAATTGAAATTGACCTAAAATTTAAAAGTCAAAAAAACAAAATTGACATAAGCTAATAATCTAAACGATATAGGGTCTATATTAAAATTTATAAGAAAGTCCTATCAGTCTTTAACATCGATTTACAAGATGACAGTGAGTGTGAGCTGGAATTAAGGTGGAGTATTCCACAACCAAGAAGTCCTAACAGGAAATATTCAATCACCTTTTGTTTTAAGGTGTGCAATGGGAACAGTTAACACGTTTCTGAGGATCACAGGCTGCACAATAATAATGGACTTCAGTTCCAATATGGATGCCAGAGCCAGACTGTGAATGGCTTTAAAAGTAATGAATAAAATCTTAAAATCAATTTCAAAAGTAATGGACAGCCAGCGTTGAGTCAATGAAACTGGTCTAATATGTTCACTTTTTTAAGAAGTCTATTTATCGATTTATGTCCCCCCCCCCCCGATCCTGCTAAGGATAGGTAGAAGAGGATGGATGGGATGGCATTATTGATACCTGTTACAAGGAGGGCCAGGTGATAAAAATAGCGCACATCCAGTTCTTAATATTTTAATGGGAGCTAGTGCTGCGTGTCATCAGCATACAAGTGGAAGAAAATGTTATTTCTCAAGATTCAAGATCGACCTAATAAACCTATTTTGTCATTTTTCAACCATGTGACATTTTTTACTTCGCCCAAAATGGTTGAGGAGTAAGGTCACGTGAAGCGCACATGGTAAAATATAGGCGGACCTTACTCTTTCTGTCTATGTTCACATTGCAGTATTTTATGCCTTGTGCTACTGGGATACATGAATTTCTCCATAAAGCAAATTTTCTCTTCTTTACGAAAACAACTGTAGTTTGTCTCTAGCATGTGGTAACAATTTCAAGAACACTTATAAAATGTTTCGTCTTAAAGGGTTTAAGAACTAAACATTAGATTTTCC